GGCCCAACCCAACGGAGCCGAGCCCCTCTCGACGGTTCCTGCGTCCCTGGGAGACCGCGCGGGCCCAGCCCCAGCGCCGCGGGCGGCGACCCCCTCCCTCCCGGGGTTCCTCCTCCCAGACAGCTGTGCTGACAGCCTGCGGGCGGCCCTCCCGCGGCGCGGCTAGGACCCGGACCGCCCTGGGAGCTGCCCCGGGGATGCCCTCCCTCCGCTGTAAAGTCGCGCTGGGAGCCTTGGGAACCCGGGACCCCGCCCAGAGCAGCCTCCAGCACCTGGCCCCTCCCCATTGCAGCACTGGCAGCCGGGAAACGCCCCTTAGGGGCATCCCGCTCCCCTTCCTCCTCCCCCTCTGTTCCCCCCTCCCCACCCTCCTCCTGCAGCGCAGAGAGCCGGTAGCGTCCAGGCGGTCACCAGCCAGGGTCCAGGGCAGGGTGGGCTGACACACTGCGCGCAGCCACAGGTTCCGGCTAGACCTGGACCCTGGAAGGGCCGGCTTCATCCTGGTAAATTGGCAGCCGAGGGCCTGCATCCAGCCAATGGTGGTAACGGTGAAACCTCGTGGGTCCGCGGTGCTTATCTGAGGAGCAAACAGGGCTCCGGCTTCCGTGCCCCCGACCAGGGACCAGAGAGCCAAGCCTTGAGGGAAGCAGGGAGAAACCCGTCCCTCTGAGTGAGGAGTCGTGGGAGTGAAGGCCAGGGCTCCCAGCCTCCGGGGCAGCTCCCAGGGGCTTTCAAGGTGCCACCAGCCTCCCCTTCCTCCAGCCAGAAAGAAGACCCAGGCAAAAAGTGATGGAAGCTCAGGACCCAGCCACCCAGCCAGTGCCAGATGTATCCAGAACCCCACCCTCCCGCCCTGCAGAGCTGAGATACTGGCGCTGGCTGCATAGGGCATGGGCCACCGGGCAGCCCTGGCGGGAGGGAGACAGGAGGGCTGGGACCTGTGGGAAGTGAGGCCAGGAGGGCATATCTGGGGAGTGCAGAATCCTCAGAGGGGCGTGCCTGGTGTGCAAGAACAGAGAGGCCACCGAGTCAGGAACCCAGAGTGGAGAGGCACTGACAGGAAGTGGGAAGGGGGCAGACCTGGCCCTGTAAGAACTTTGACCTCTCCCCTGAGTGAGACTGGAAGCCATGAGGGACTTGGGGAGGAGTACGGGGATGCTACGTTTTCTGTAAACCCAAGACTGCTCTAAACATGTAACTGATAGCCTGGCGGGTGTGGCTCAGCGGTTGAGCATCAGCCTGTGCAGTAGGAGGCTGCTGGTTCCATTCCCCGTCAGGGCACATGCCCTGGTTGTGGCTGCTGGCTTGATCCCAGTAGGGGGCATGCAGGAGGCAGCCATTGATGTTTCTCTCTTCCTCTCTGAAAAATCAGTAACAACGTATTTAAAAATAAAAATTGTAATTTACTGATAGAAAGAACAAAGCAAACCTGGGGCCCAGCTCCACAGCTTCAGCTTCTTGACCAGCTCCTCCTGCTAGAAAGGAGCCCGCAGGCTGAAAGAGCCTGGCCAGCTGAGCCAGCTCTCTCCATCGCCAGCTTCCCCAGGCCTGTCCTGTCCTCTCCTGGGCTGGCTTGGCCCTGTTCTTCTCTGGCCACTCTTCCCTGTGCTCCTCCCTCCAAGACCAAGGGCTGAGGTCCCCGTGGGTCCGTACTTTACAGCCGACCCTCTGTCTAATGCTCGTAACCCACAGACACAGTGAGTTCACCCTGGGTGGGCAGTGGGGTGCTCACCGGCACTGCGGAGTGAGCCGAGATGCAGCAGATCTGAGCATAGACCCGGCGTGCGGAGGCTTGGCCAGCAAGGGCTCCGTCCTCGAAATCACCATGGACCCAACGATCCCCAGTTACCCGACCGCTGGGAGGAACCTGTGGCATCTGCAGTGATAAATGCTCCCGAGTGCAGGCCCCTCCTAACTCAGACCTGGCACCACGGCACCCGACACTCGGTCCCAGACATTCCCAGGCCAGGAAGCAGGAGGACTCAGCCGCCCAACCTTCCCTTCATTACTGCTCCCCCGGGGAGAAAAACGCTAATCTGAGTGAAACCTAGTTAATGGAATTAATTAATTAATTAATTAAACTTAATTTCTCCGTTGGGAGGGAACACAGGGGAGACCTCAAACCACTGTCATTCTCCCCCTTTCCTTTGCTTCCCTCCCTGAAGGAGATGGGGTTTCCCTCCTGGGAACAGTGTGACCCCCTGGGAGAAAGGATGTAAGGGCTCCGGGCAGCTGCTGCCCCCGAGGTGGGGCTGGCCGTGCCCCCTGGGCTGCACGGTCCCCTCGTGACCCTGAGGCCGCCCCAGGCCCAGGTTGTGCACAGCCAACCCCAGGCTCCGTGCAACCCGGGAACCCCTCCAGGGGGTCTGCGTTAAGGCTGCACCGGGAGGAAAGGGTGGGTAGTGAGGCTGCAAACTTCCTTTTGTGACACCCCTCTGGGGGATGTATGAATGCATTGTTTTCCCTGTTTCTGGGTGCATTATGGGAAGGAAGGGCCACCAGAGGCTGGCCACCCTCCTGCTCCAATGGAAGGGGAACTGGATGGGAGGGTAAAAGTGTCACAGACGTGTCAGGGCGGTGCCTGGAGGGCCGAGTTGTGAACACACTTTCCTGACCCTGATGGCCTCCACGCCAGGAGGGAGGATGGGGAGTCCCCAGGGCAGGCGCTCTCTCCCTGTGGGGCTAGGAGTCCAGACCAAGTGTTGGGAGGACCCTGAGGCTGAGGAAGATCCCCTCTGACTACGGAGTCCCATCCCCTCCGACTACGGAGTCCCCGCCTGGGCGGCCTGGCGTGGAGCCTTGCTGGTCTCCGCCTCCATCCACCTGCACACGACCATCTGCATGCTCCCGGGCTGCCTCCTTCCCGCGGGTGGGCCAGGCCCATCTGACGGCCTTGCTGTAACGTGCCTCTCCAACAGCGGTCACACTCCCAGGTCCTGGCTTTGGACTTGAGCATCTCAGCACAGATGGCATGGGACACGCAGGGTCATCCCCAGGGCTCGGGCCCCAAACCACCTGCTCATGCCCATCATCCTGGTACTGGCTTACGTGTCCCCTTCTGGGAGCCAAGAGCACCGCCCGGGCCTGTCCCGCTCGCCATCCCCACGCACCCAGGCCGTGGTGTGTGCTGGAGCTGAGCACCACACACCCACACCGCAGAGGTCCTCCATCCTCCTGAGTCAGTCTGCCCACCACTGCTCGGGCCTCCTGGGGATGTGAACCAGGACTACCCTGTGGTTTCCCTGAGCTCCTGGGACAAGAACAGGTGGGCTCCTGCCTGGCCTGGCCTCACTCTGCAGACTCTCCATCCGGCATCACCAAGGGGTGGACACTGCTTCCTGCCAGAGCCCACGCCAGCCCTGGGCTCTGCCCTCATGGCAGAATGGGGAGCATGGGGGGAATGCCTCAGCGTGGATGTCAGCATGTGTGCCAATACCACGTCACCCAAACCCAACCCCGGGGTCTCCAGCCCTGTGGTCAAGGCAGCCCTTTCTGAAACACTTGATTCTGGCCAGCTAACCCCTGGGATACAAGTGCCTCAGGCAGAACTGCTTGCCATGTCTCCCCTCCTTACCCCCCCCCCACCCCCCGTTGGGCCCTCTGAATTTTGGAAGCAAAATGCTCTTGAAAAGGATAAATTCTGTCAATGTGCCCCGGTTGAGGGGGGCGGGAACTGGGGACTGTACCTGTTGACTAGGGTAGACGCTCCAAACTTCTTTGGGGTCCATTTTACTTAAAACAGCCCCCCAGTTCCTATGGGGAACCTGTGCTCCCCTGGGCCTGCCTTGCTGGGAACCGGCACCCCTGGGCAGCATCCAGGCCTGCTTCTCCACAGCCCGAGAAGCACCGAGCCCCCCGTGCAGGTCAGAGCTGCAGGGCACCCCCAAACCCGCCCCGCAGGCAGGGCAGTGCCAGGAGGAAACGCAGACACAGCAGCAGACAGCCTGTGCAGCTCTCTCCGCCACAGCGACAGGCCTTTCCGTCTTCCCGAGGCTGAACATCCTCGCTCAGTGGAGGTGGGTGAGCACGAGCCAGGGCTCCTGAGCGCAGGAGGGGCAGGTGCGGCTGCTTCCAAAGAGATGCTTAAAGAACACACCTGACAACCAACGCCTTTAAGCAACAGGTAACGAGCAGAGTTCAAAATGGGGGACTTGCTTTCTCGTTCTAAATTACGGCAGTTTTTTAAAAAGCGGCCGCCCAGGCCAGGGGGCCAGGTGGTTGGAGCATCATCCAGACGCTCCCAAGTTGAGCGCCAGGCACGACAGGAGTCAGCCTAAGGAGGGAACAACCGATGTTCTCTCACATCTTTCTCCCTACCGCTCTCTGAAACCAATAAATTAGGTTAAAAGGCAGTGGCCAGAGGCAGCCAGGTGATGCTTCAACCCTGCCATCGTAGGCCTGCGACAGGCACTCATTTCCAGGAACGATGAAAACACGAGGTTCTGCCGACCCAGCGTGAAGTGGCGGCAGCCAGTGCCCAGGTGAGTGCGAGCACGCGGACCGCACTAAAAGGCAGAAGTGCCACCTGCTGGCACGAAGAATGACCACGCTGAGGAGAAGGCCAGAGGGGTTTATTCACGGAAGGAAGTCGCCCTGAACCCTCTGCCTGACCTGGTGCCTGTGCTAACACTGGACTGGAACACTCGGCCTCCCAATGGTAGGTGACGGATGAGCCGCATCCACGGGCCGTTCAAGTAACGTTTCAGGAACCCGAGGGGCCCTGGGGGCGCGCCTCCCACACAGCCACGTCTGTAAACACTGTTGGGGGCTGGGCTGCACCTGGCACACCAGGGACAGAACATCTAAGCATGAGGTCAAAGCAGGACAATCAGGGCTGGGCGCGGGGGTAGGGTTGGGGTGGGGGCGGGGCAGAATACCCCCTCCAGCCCCGGCCCCCACCCTCTCGGCCCACGGAGCCAGGGTCTCCACTCTGTCCACAACTGGCTGAGAATCAAAGGGCCCGCCCCGGGGCTGCGGGGCCTGGGGAGTGCAGGTGCCGCCTACGTGCGGTTCATGGTCTGGAAGATCCGGGAGATCTGCAGCATGACGGGCCCCGTCTCTGGGTCGTTCATCCACTGGGTGCTGTTCAGGGGGTTCTCGAGCATGTCTTCAAACGCTGTGGGGACAGAGCCAGGGGAATGAGCCTCTGCCCCTGCACGTGCACACACGCACACACACACAATGCATACACATTCATATGCATGTGCACACACAATGTGTGCGCTCATATGCACACACATGCACAATGTGCACGCACAACACGTGTACAGTGCACACACATACTGCACACACAACTCTGGCCTGCCTGCGCTGGAGAAACTTTCCACAGCTTCCTAGTATAGACATGGGCTGGACACCCACCGAGACCCCTGGCCCCACCACACTGTCTGACCTGCTGTCACACCAGCAGCTCTGAGGTCAGAGGGCAGCGACCCAGCTCTGCAGGGAGCCCAGGCCTGTATGTTCACTGGACACCAAGTCTGGAAAGCAATTGGCAACAGCCACCAGGAATCTTAAAAATAGTCAGGCCGTGACTCAGTAATTCCACTCCCAATCAGATGCGGAAAGGACTTACATATAAAGACATTGTTGCAAGGACCATAACATCTCCTTGGAGAACTGTAAGTGTTCATCTTAAGAAACAGCACACTAACAATGTATCTGAGCAGTTCTTGAACATGAGAACTCTGATTTTTAAAAGTTTTGCAAAATTTTTCCCCAAAAAACCACAGGTGCCTTCAGCAAACGCTCCGAGCCACAGCAGCCCTGGACACGGGGAGATGGGTCAGATCCTGTTCATCAGCGTTCTCTCTCTCTCTCTCTCTCTCCCTTTCTCCCTCCCTCCCTCCCTCAAATAAATAAATGTACCCTCAGTTTAAAAAATAAAATGAAATTGTTTTAAATATAAACGAAAGCATCAGACAAGTCTGAATGGGAGCCTGAGGAAAGCGGTGTGCTGGGCTGCAGAGCCCGGCTCAGGTCCACAGACCTGGAGCCCTACACGTAAAACCTCGTGATGTCGCCACAGAGGGGACAGCAGCAAAACTGAGGTGCATTCAGGGATCCAAACTCAGCACCCCAACTGGGGAAAAGGGAGCCTCCTCAATCTGACCAAGGACAGCCTAAAAAATCACCAACGACTGGCGGCCGGTCGCAGCCACCAAGACGGCCCTTCAGAAGAGGCTGGGAAGCCAGGAGGGGGAGACCAGGCCGTGCCCCTGAAAGGGGAAGGGAGGGGAGCGGAGGTGCTCCAGGGCGGAAGGACCCAGGGCTACACAGAGCACAGAGACAAACTCAGCAAGATGCTCGCCAGGGGAAGAACTGTGTCCAGAGGAAGCCTCCCCTCACGCACACCTTTCCGACCTGGGACCACAGGGCTTCCGTGTCGTCAATGAGTCACGGACACGGCCCACTGCACTGGAACCCAGGACCTGTGTCCGCGGGAGGAAGGCGGGCTGGGAAAGACAGGGGAACTCCCTCCCGGTGAACAAAAGCAGCCCACCGTAGCGGGAGGCCAGAATCCAGCTGACGCCTTCCAGAGCCAAGGGCCTGGGTGCGCTGGCCTTCAGGAGAGCTCAGCTGGAGGGTCAAGGAGTCGGCAACCCACCACAGCACCTGCCCTCCCCTGTGCTGGGGAGCACGGGGCTCTGAGCGCTGCACATGCCTACACGCACACGTCCTGCATGCACATGCCTGGCCCTAGGTCTCTGCCCAAAGACTCGCATATGTGCACTGGAGGGCGGGCATGAGAATGAGCGGAGCAGCCCTGACGGGGGCAGCATGAGCCGCTCCCTCCCCCCGCCTCACCCCCTATGCCCCCACCCCGGGCCAAGAGCAGAACAGAGCCGCGGTGCCCTGGCTTCGGGAAGGGCCTGGCTCAGGAGACTGAGTGCCCACTGCCAGGTGTGCCCAGACGCACTCCCCTCCCACAGCAGGCACTGCACCCAGGCTGCCTGGGAAACGCCACGTGACAACACGCCCAGAACAGCAGAGCTGAGGGCCTGGGCACTCTGCAGGGAGGGCACTGAGGGGCCAGAGGCTCTGAGGGTCTGGAATGCTCTTGGCTTTTTAAATACAGTGTTTTAAAGCCCAAGGCAAGGCGCACGCTGATTAGCTCCCCTGACCTGGAGGACCGCTGTGCTGGGCATGACCCTCCCTGCACCCGGAGGGCCGCTGTGCTGGTGTGAACTCCCCTGCACCCGGAGGACCACTGTGCTGGTGTGAACTCCCCTGCACCCAGAGGACCACTGTGCTGGTGTGAACTCCCCTGCGCCCGGAGGGCCGCTGTGCTGGTGTTCAGAGTGTGGGGGTCAGCGCACAGGAGCTGGCCCACCACAAGCAGAGCCTGGTCCTGGCCCCAGTGACGCAGGCAGCAGCACACGGGAGCCCACGTGCGCAGGGACCGCTCTGGGCTGGGCTGTGCGTCTATCACTCAGGAACATCTGGGTATTCTGGGCGGGCCCCAAGGCAGTGAAGGGGGGGGGCACACATACCTAGTAGTGTTTTGGGGTTGGTGAGGCCCAGCTGCACAACGGGGTTATCCAGGATGGCTTGGAAGAGGGGGCTGTTGGGGTCAATGCCCTTGTCCAGCTCCTCGGGGGAGGGCTTCCGGTCCCCCAGCAGCCACTCACACTGCAAGGCAAAGGCGCAGCCGTCAGCCGGGACCCGTAACCATCCGACAGGCCCTATTCATGTGACCATGGCTCTCCCGCCCGAAGGGACCAGCCAGCCCACCGCCGAGACACCCCCAGGCAGTGCCGTCAGCAGCCGGGTGTTCACAGAACGGGACTCAGCTCAGAACGTGTCTAACGAAGCAAGTGGATTCCAGAGCCCGGAACCCCTTAGCATGTAAATCTTCACACCATTAGAACCTGCCCACGGCCTCCCGAGGAGCCTCCCGCAGGGGGCGCCACGGCCCTCGCCCTGCACTCACGGCGGCGCTCTGCTGGTTGTTGCTCACTCGCAGGGCGTCCATCACCTCCTTCTCGTCGAAGCCCATCTCCATGAGGGAAATGACGGCCTGAGGAGAAGCCAAGCCTCAATGCCATGCGTGGACCCGGGAAGCTCGGACCGCTCCCGGGCTAATTAGCGGGGGCTTCCCCAGCACCACGGCCGCTTCACTGCTGTCTCCCACAGGCTTCCGACACCGAGGGACGAGCAGGGCGGTGGAGGGCGCCTGCCCTGGGGACAGGCCGCAGGGACGGGAGGCCATGCCTCGGGGCCAGGCTCGCCTCAGGGCCCACGGGAGCCGAGGCTGTCTGGATTTCACCGCCCAGGAAGGCCCTAACGCCCTCGACTCCGACCGCCCCGTTAGAGTCTAATTCTGACGTGCCGTCCGCGTGCTGCCTGGGGGCACATGGAGGCCCCGGACACTCGGGAAAGAGCCTGCGGAGCCACCTGCTGTGAGCTCACAGCCAGTGTTTTCTTTACGTTTTTCTTGATTTTAGAGAGAGGAAGGGAGAGAGACCCAAACATCAGTGATCCTCTCCTGGGGATCGAGCCCATAACCTGGGCACGTGCCCCCCGACCGGGAACCTGGCCTCTCTGTGCACAGGATGATGCACAAACATCAGCCACGCCAGTCACAGCCATAAGCCAGTAGCCCTGCCTCCCAAGCTCTTCCCTGACTCTCTGGCCCCTTAGCTCCAGGCCCGTCACAAATGACAGGAGAAGCCATCAGAGTCGTGTACAATCCCTGGGAACCACTGCTGAGTCAGGGCAGGGTGGCCTCTTCCGTTAACGTCATAGACCATCCTCCATCTCGGCCGGGAAGAGATGCCCCAACGTCCTGGCGGTGACACAGGGACGCCCCCATCCTCACGGGAGCCCCGGGCAGGGTCCTGGCACCCAGGGCTGCCCGTCTGCGCCCGACCACAGATCAGGGAGAGGCTGCCATCAGCCCTCAGACCCGCCCCTCGTTTACAACTGCTATAGGAGGAGCACCCACGGGGGTGCACGGCTCCCAGGCCCTGGTTACAGCACGGACCTGCTGTGGGCTCAGCAGGTGGCAGATGTGCCGACGGCTTCTCAGAGGAAACCGCCTCCGGGCCCCAGGCCTCACAGCTCCACTGTCTCAGTGCGTGGCCCAGGCGATGCCACCCAAGGGGGCAGCAGCGGGCCTCCCCAGCGGGGCACGTACCCGACCGTCAGCCCGAAATGCCCTTTTCCGTCGGATCTTCTTGAAGATTTCTGTGAGCTCGTCTTTGGCCTCCTCGGCCTCCTCGCTGGGGCCGGCGGCAGCCTCGGCCGGAGCTTCGGCGCCCGCGGGGCCCGGCGAGGTGTGCCCTGGCAGCGGCGTGTCTATGGTGGGGTCGTCCGCGTGCTCAATCAGCCACTCCATGGCTTGAGGAACGGACATGCTAAAAGGTAAGGAGACTTTCCAACACGCCCAGGCGTCACGGGGCCCTTTCCCTCCCCCAAAAGCCCGGCAACTGGAGGCGGCCTCGAGCAGGCGCTGCCCACCGCTGCCGTGAGGGTCGTCTCTCAGGCCAGTGGGGCCGCAGCCAGACCTCAGAACCCACTGTGTGAGCCAAAGGAACCCGAGGGCCAGGACCACGGTGGAAAGGCACGTGGCCACGGCCCGTCCTCCGGCTGACGGATCGTCTCAGCTCTGAAGTCCACGAGGAGACAAGTAACCAGAGACGGGAAACTGCAGGGCTGTTAGAGTCGCACGGCCGCCCACTGGGTGCCCGCGCCCCCCTCCCGGTCCTCCCATCCCCCACCTCCCCCCTCACAAAGTATGCCGTCCCCTAGAGGGAGCCGAGCCCAGGCCGGTGACTGCGGGGCTTGTTTCCAAGCACCTCTGGAATGACGCACACTGGCCTGACTCGGGGAGTGGGGGACAGGGAGGTCACGGGGGAGGCCCTCCACCAGCCCCGGCGGCCCCACGTACTGGTTCAGCCGAAGCGCCTTCACGGCCCTGCTCTCGGGGAAGCCCATCTCCGTGAGCTGCCGCAGGGCCGTCTCGTCCACCCGCTCCTCCTCGTCCTCGTCCAGCATCGCTGTGGGCGACACACGGCCGGTGAGGGACCCGGGCAGGGCCACCCTTGGAGCTGGAGGGCCTCGTCTGAGCCCCAAACGTTTGCTGGACCTCGGGAAACCTGACGCACACCCGTCTGCTCTCACTCGTAGGAACAGGAATGTGGGGTTAGCAGCTCCCCAGCCCATGTCTACTGAGCAGCAGCAGCAGCAGCCCGGGCAGCTCCAGCTTCAGGCTGTGGGACGCAGACGCCCGGACGTGGGGGTCACACCCCCGGCTCGCACGTACCATTGGCCTTCGTGAATAACTCCACGGCGCCGGGGCTCAGCGCCAGCAGCTTCTGCGCCACCTCAATGAGGGACAGCAGGATCTTCCGGAGCTCCGTCTGGAACTGCATGGTGGGCGGGAGAGGGTATCTCAGGGCTCCGAGTGGAGGGGGAGGGGCTGTGACAGAGAGCACTGGTCCCTGTCCTACAACCAGCCTCAGCCACCATGAGACACCACGTGGGGACACACCCCCAGAGAGACAGTGCCAGGGTCCCAGGCCCTGGTCATCATGGAACCCTGGAAGGAACCCCGAAAGAGCCGCTGCTGTAGGGAGCAGGGCTTGTGGCCGTGCCTAGACATGATGGATCGACAGGGGCGATCATCCTAGGGCACAGGTGCCTGAGGGCTGGGTGTGCCCCAGGGAGGCGCTGCTTCCTCACTTACGACTTCCAGGACCACAGCCAGGCAGCCAGGCTCCTGCCAAGCTCGGGACAAAACCTGGACCTTTAAGCATCCTCCTTCCTCCTGCCTTAGCTTGTCTTCTAAATTTTTTACTTCAAGAAAAGTTCAGCCGAAACCGGTTTGGCTCAATGGATAGAGCATCGGCTTGGGGACTGAAAGGTCCCGGGTTCGATTCCGGTCAAGGGCATGTACCTTGGTTGCGGGCATATCCCCAGTAGGTGGTGTGCAAGAGGCAGCTGATCGATGACTCTCTCTCATCGATGTTTCTAACTCTCTATCTCTCTCCCTTCCTCTCTGTACAAAATCAATAAAATATATTAAAAAAAAAAAAAAGTTCAGGTTTACAGAAAAGGTGCAAAAGGTACACCGAGTTCTAGTATCCCTGTCACCCAGCCTCCCTAGCACTTTTTTTTAAAATAACATATATATATTTTTTAATATATTTTATTGATTTTTTTTTTTTACAGAGAGGAAGAGAAAGGGATAGAGAGTTAGAAACATTGATGCGCGAGGATGACCAAGATGGCGGCATAGGGTAGACACCCGAATGCAGCCTACCACAACAAATTTGAATTTAGAACTGAAAAACAGGGGAGGCATTGCCCTGAAGCGCCGGACGGCTAGCTGAGAGGAGGCTCTGCCATCTGGGAAGGAGAAAGAAGGCACGCTGAACCTCAGGAACTGTGAAGGTATGAAGAACTGTGTGCGCGAAAAGGCGCTGGCTCACTCCCAGAGCGCGGAGAGGAAGGGCAGGACCGAGATTGCTGCTGGCTTACTCCCCGCGTGCAGACAGGGTGGGCCAGGTTGAGTTCACTTCTGGCTTACTCCTGGCGTGTGGAGAGGGCGGACAGCTAACGCGCAGCTGGCTTTCTTGTTCGAGAGGAAAACAGAATCACCCTATTGCTCTGATAGACGGCCCCAGACAGGGAGAGGCCAGACTGTCAGGCAGTGGACAGAGATCTCTCGGAGGTGTGTGAAGCCAGAGGCCATTACTGCGGGACTTGGGGAGGAGTCGAAGGGAAAACAAAGTTTGTCTGCACCAACCTGAGACTCCGCCCCATCTGTGGCTGAGCACAAAAGCTCTCCCAGAGGCTGGCTTTCTCTAAGGAGGGACTGGCCGAATCCAAAGCTTGTCTGCGCCTTTACCAAAGAGGTGCGCGCGCCTGCAACCAATCTTCCGAAACTCTCCGCGAACAGGACTTTTCTAAGGCGAGACTGACAGGGAACCAAAGATTGTCTGCGTCACCCGAGACCCCGCCCTATCCAGGCGGAGTACAGAAGCCCTCCTAGCTGAGACACTGCTGATCCTCACAGCCAGTTGGCTTGGAGATCAACGCTTCCCAGTGATACCAACAATAAGCAAGGCTTAACAACAAGACTGCACACACAGCCCACAAAGGGCTACACCAAGACTGTCCACCGCAGGTAACTGGGAAGGCTGTGCTACTGGGCTCTACCAGAACACCTAGCACACAAAGCTATTCCATCAAATCAGGGAAACAACTAAAATGCAGACAAGAGGAAGGACACAAAGGAAGGAGATGGAGGAAAAGAAAAGATTGGATATTGAGTTCAAAACTACAGTTATAATGTTATTCAAGAATATTCTAAAAAAGGCCGATAAAATAAATGAGACCTATGAGGATATGAAAAGGGAGCAACTAGAAATAATAAGGGATCAACTAGAAATGAAGAAAACATTGTCTGAAATAAAAAATATTATACAAAGTCCTAAAAACAGACTAGAATATCGCAAGAATCAAGACAAAGATTTAGAACACAAAGAGTCAGAGGACACTCCTCTGCAGAAGGGAAAAGATAAGAGAATCCAGAAAGTTGAAGATAGTGTAAGAAACCTCTGGGACAATTTTAAGTGAACCAACATCAGAATTATGGGGATTCCAGAAGAAGAGAGAGAGCAAGATACCAAAAGAATTCTGGAAGAAATAGTGACAGAAAACTTCCCCCATCTGGGGAAAGAAATAGACTTACAAGTCCAGGAAGCCCACAGAACCCCAAACAAAAGGAATCCAAGAAGGACCACACCAAGACACATCATAATTAAAATTCCAAGAGCAAAAGATAAAGAGAGAATATTAAAAGCAGCAAGAGAAAAGCAGGTAGTTACCTATAAAAGAGCACCCATACGATTGTCAGCTGATTTCTCAACAGAAACCATGCAGGCCAGATGGGAATGGCAAGAAATATTCAAGGTGAATAGTAAGAACCTACAGCCAAAAATAATCTACCCAGTAAAGCTATCACTCAGAATCAAAGGACAGATAAAGAGCTTCACAAATAAAAAAAAGCTAAAAGAGTTCATCACCACCAAACCAGAATTATATGAATTGCTGAAAGGGGTTATTTAGGAAGAGGAAGAAGATAAAGATAAAAATTATGAACAACAAATATGTAACTATCAACAAGTGAATCTAAAAACCAAGGGAATTAAAAAATCTGATGAACAATATTAACTGTTGAATATAATACAATCAGAGGTATAGAAGGGGAGTGGACTGATGATTCTCGAAGAAAAGGGGAGTGAGGGTGCGGGAAGAGCCTGAACAAAAACTGTGCACCTATGGATGAGGACAATCGGGGATGGGGAAAGGACAGAGGGTGGGGTGGGAGCCTGGTGGAAGGGAGCAATTGAGGGGGGGAAGAGGATCACATTTGTAATAATCTGAACAATAAAGATTTATTTAAAAAAAAACAACCACAACACATTGATGCGAGAGAAACATCGATCAGCTGCCTCTTGCACACCCCCTACTGGAGATGTGCCTGCAACCAAGGTACATGCCCTTGACTGGAATCGAACCTGGGACCTTTCAGTCCGCAGGCCGATGCTTTATCCACTGAACCAAACCGGTTTCGGCGTCCCCAGCACTTTTAAAACCTCTGGGCCGCCCACAGTGGTGCCCCCTTCCCCCCACGGTGACGAGGACCCCCGCTCGCCCGCCCCCAGCGACACTCACGTCTCGGAGGCTGGTCTGCACCACAGCCCGGTCCATGTTGCAGGCGGGCAGGCCAGCTGTGGCTCGGGCGATCGCATCTCTGTCAGGGGCTTTCTGGTCTTGTTTCTTCTACACAGAAACATAGTCAGAGTCAGAAACTACCATGAGGGCAACAGTGGCAAGATTGTGCAAGTGGAACAGACAGAGCCTGGCAGGGACAGTCGGTCCTCTGGGAGCTGGAGATGGTTCCGGAGGGCTCTGTGCCACCCGCACACACAGACCACGTGCTGCTCAGGACGCAGTCCCCGCTCTGTAACTGGCAGTGGTAGGACGGGCAGCGTGGCCACGGGGGGCTGGGGAGTGGCCACCCTCTGAGGAACACAGGCCTGCGGTCCCACCGGCCACGGAAACTCACACTCACCTCTGCTCCTTCTGACCCGCCCCCCACGCAGGGAAAAGAGACGGCAGAACTGACGAGAGCAAAGGGCAGGAAACCACCGGAGCGACAGCACGGACCTCTCAGGCCACACGCGCAGAGGGAGCAGCTCCCGCGGCCAGGCCAGGCCAGGCAGGGGCACAGCGCCAGGCTGGTGGACAGGACAAGTCCTCCACCAGCCTGCTCACCCCAGTGCCCGGCCTGTGAGCAGGATGGGCTCCCTCTGGGTACTGGTCTACCACATGGCACAGCCAATTTACAAAAAGGTGCCCAGCCTGGCCGGTGTTGCTCAGTGGAAAGTGTCCCGGTCAAGGGCACATGCTCGGGTTGCGGGCTCGATCCCCAGTGGGGAGCATGCAAGAAGTAGCTAATCAATGATTCTCTCTCACCATTGATGTCTCTCTCTCTCTCTCTTTCCCTGTCCCTTCCTCTCTGAAATCAATACAAATATATTAAAAAAGAAAGAAAAAAGAAGGTGCCTGTTAGTGGGCCCGACCTAACCAGGCTGGCCTTGGGCAGAGGGATGCAGCAGCGGAGTCTCTGCTGCTGGCTCTGAGGACACGGGGCTGCGAGGCAGGCACACGCAGCTCCGGAGCTGACAGCAGCCTCGGCTGACGGCCAGGAAGGACTCGGCGCCTCAGCCCAACTGTGAGCCACCAGACGCGGACCTGGCAGCCTGGGAGGCGTGGTTTTGCTGGGAAGTCTGGGCAGTGATCAGTGCAACTGGTGCAACCGGATGCGGACGCAGACCTAGAGGCTCAGGGGCCCTGACACAGGAGGTCCGCTAGGGAGGGAAGTCTGGGCTGCGCACAGGCCTGGGAGGCAGCGGGAGCAGGGGATCTGGAGGCGCCCCGGGAAGTGGGAATGGAGGGCCTGCACCGGGACCCTTCCATGGGGGTTTATCAGTGCTGGTGAGGAAGTGGGAAATCAGTGATGTGCCGCGAGGAACCAGACAGACAATGAGGCGGCTGCTGGCGCTAGAAGAGGGGGCTGCATGACAGACAGGGCCTGGGTGCGTCTACTTGAGGGAGGAGGCGGCTTATGACAGCCCTGATGGGCCTGACTGCTTCAGAGCACTGGGATCTGACCCCAAGGGCGGGGGTGGGGGACCAGATCTTCCGGAGCCAGCAGGGTGACACCGATCCGAGTGGCCAGCGTGGGGTGGAGCTGGGGAGCGTGAAGGGATCAGGTGAACGAGGTCCATGGCCTCTAGGACGCCTGGCAGGTAGGAGAGCAGGCTACCCTTCCTCGACTCATGGTACTGTGTGACAATTAACAATAACCCATAAAACACACCGACATCACAACATCCACGCAGAGAGGGGCTGGAGGCTGAGTGTGGCCGTCCACTCGCAGCTTCAGGCAGCTACTGACGGGCAGAGGCAGGCCCAGGCCTGTCTGCCAGAGATGGGCTGAGCGGCCTGCTGGGGGGGCCAGCTGTGCTGGCAGATAAGCAGGGCCGTCCAGAGGGCCCCTCCCTCCCCACCTGTCCCAGAGAACCTGCAGCAGCGCCTGCCCTCAGCGCCATGCCCAGCAGCGTCGGCCTGCTTCCTCCCAGTGAGTGCTCTCCCCAGCACTTCAGATCATGGAGAAGACACTCTGTATCTACCCTCTCTGTTTTGGCTCAGTGTACAGAGTGTCAGCCTGCAGACCAGAGGGTCCCAGGTTCTATTCTAGTCAAGAGCACATGTTGGGCAGAAGGCAGCCAATGATTCCCTTTCATCATTGTTTCTCTCTCACTCCCTCTCCCTTCTTCTTTGAAATCAATAAAAATGTATTTTAACAGGAGAAACTCTGTGCCCGAAGATAAGGAAAAGCTGAGACGTTAACGTGGCCTGGACAGAGGCCCTGTGCACCAGCCTCCTGCACGCAACTTCGGGCGGCTGTGCACAAGCGCTGAGCCGAGGTCCCAGAGCAAATCCTGGGGACCTGAATCTGCCCCGAGATGCAGACCAGACAGGCCCTGGGCTCTCCAGGAGTTCACTAGTGATGCCAACATGCACCCCATCCCTCCTGAGTGAGGTGAACGTGCCCCCACCCCATGTGTACCCCGTTTTGTGGGGCTGTGGTCAGCAATGCCCCGCGCTGTCGGCACAGGATTGGGGGCACACAGTGAACTGGTGGGGACTCGGCACGTAGGCCTCACCACGAGAACATCCAGATGCTCCGCTCTGCTCCAGTCTAAACTCTGAGCGAGCCAGGTGGTCCAGGGCCGGTCACGTGACCAGCAACCGGACAGGCATCGGTCACCCAGCTCAGCCCAGACAGAACCCCTTGTGCCCTCTCCGCCTGCCTGTGAACGACTGGCACACAGAGCGCGTGTTCCCGAAGCCTCAGGGGGAGGGGAGGGCTCTCCCTCACAAAGCTCTCAGTCCCCTGCTCTGCTCACCTTTTCCTCGGCGGAGACGTCGGCCATCTTAGGAAGCGGAGACGGCGCACGCCTTTTCACCAGCAGCAGGACATCTGGGAAGAAACAGCCCGTCAAGCTGGTTACGGCTTCGTGTCCACAAAGTAGCCGCTGACCACGGACATGGGGCCTCCTGCCCAGGCGCCCACTCCAGCCCGTCTTCCCTCAGCGCTCGGCTGGTTAGGAAGCACGCCCCTGGCTCACGCCAGGCTCCCTGCTCGGCAAGAGCGGCCGTGGGTCCAGAGTTCACCAGGGCCCGGAGGCACACTCAGCCCCGCCCTGGTGGGAATCGTGCACAATGCTCTCGTGTCCAGGGGCCACTGGAAGTCTGGGAGGTTGGAGGCGCGGTCAGTTCAGCCACAGACCAGCTTGGGGTCAGCTCCCACCTGGTTCTGGCCTTGACCTCCACCCTCGATGGAAGTCAGCAAACGCTTCCAGTCTTTTACAATGGACTTAAGGGCACCCAGGGCCCAGACCATCCTTTGAAGGAGATAGAAAACCGAGGTTTCGCCAGACCGGCGCGGCTCAGTGGTTGAGCGTCGACCTGTGAACCAGGAGGTCAGGGTTCAATTCCCGGTCAGGGCACACGCCGGGTTGTGGGCTCGATCCCCAGTGTGGGGCGTGCAGGAGGCAGCCGATCCATGATTCTCTCTCATCGTGGATGTCTCTCTCTCCCTTCCTCTTTGAGATCAATAAAAATATTTTTTTTTAAAGAAAACCAAGGTTTCTTCCCCAAATGCCTCTGGACAGAGAATATTGAGCGGCCGAGGGGCGTGTGTGGAGGGGAGCAGCTCCTGGGGCTGGAGCAGCCGCTGGGCGTCCCTGCAGCCTGTACGGACCCGGGGCCGCTCTGCTTTGAACAGAACTCACAGTGGAGTCACCTCTCCTTCTAAGACGGACGCTGCCTGTCCGCGTCCAGTCCCTCGGTTCTCACGAACATCCTGCCACACACGCTGGTGTGAGTGAAGGGAGAAGACGAACGGTGGCCCCCCTGACCCGACGTGGCCACTGACGGCCGCTCCTCCAGGCCCGCCTCCCGGGCCTGCGAGGCGCTCACCGTGGTCCTGCACGTTCTCCTCGGCGATGGTCTTGGCGTCACTCAGCACCCTCTCGGAAGCAGCGTGGATGAGCTTGTGGTGGGTGACACTCTTAGGGTCTTCTAAGCTCCCATGAGCACACTGAGGGGGAAATCAAGTATTTTAAGATAGAAAACAAATAAATAGTAAAGTCAGCAATCAAGAGCCTGGACCACCTGCCACACAGGAACCTGATGAGAACGGGCTTCCTTACCAGCCAGGCAACGAAATGCCACCACCCCAACCCCAGTCGCACTGTGTCCACACCTGCCGAGGGTTCTGAGCGGCTGAGCCGACAGGAAGCACGCTGTGGCAACAGGTGGCACTGCCAGTCGCTTCCCTCTGATCTGGGGAGATCTGAGGAGGCATTTTAACATGAAGACAGCAGGCTCGTGTCCTGAGGATCTGAAGATCTCAGATGACCGTGTGCTTGCTTGTCTTTCTCACACAGAAAGGGAGAGAAGGACGGAGGGAGGGATGGAGGGAAAGAGGGAGGGAGGGGGAGAGAGAGAGAGAGAAAGAGAGAGAGAAAGAAGGGCCGAGGAGAGAAGCTGGCTCACAGGGAGGCCGGCAGGGCCTGACCACTAACTGCTCACAGACCCGACCGAGAAGACACCTGCAGCAGTCCGCCCTGGCTCACCAAGGACACCAGAGACCCCAAGCCGCAGGTGCTGTTGGGGGGCCTCTCCTGGAAGGTCAGGGGGACAGGGGTCTCACTGACCAGGGCCTGGAACTCCAGAACACAGTGGGGGACGAACACACTGCAGACCTCCCCCAGCCCCCGTGGAAGGCACTGGAGACGCCTAAGGGGCAAACCAAGGCACAGCCGCACAGCCCGCGGCCGAGGAGAGGGGAGGGGAGGGGGGCCGACACCCCAGCCTGCTCCTCCCCCAAGCAGGGGGAGCTTCTCTGGCACGTGCTGTAACATCATTGAAGACACACCTCCACGTGACCTGAGAAATGCCCCAGCCACATCAGCAGGTGCCGGGCAGGGACTGCAGTGCCACGGGAGTACCACCAGACAGGCACCCCAGCACATCACGGGTCATTTTCTTAACTGAAGCGCGTATGGACCCCGCACAAGCCAGTTCCTGTCCCCTCCTCAAGTCCCAGGCAAGGAGGGCTGAGCCCACACGGAGATCCCCGTCCGTCTAAACCGGGGGAGTGGCAGCCATGGGAAACTTCTTCCGGAGGGAGGGGTAGCCCTCCAGGTAGAGCAACACGGCCCTGGCCGGCGTGGCCCGTGGCTCCGCTGGCTGAGCGTGTCCCGGCACCATAAGACCAAAAGGTCACTGGTTCCATTCCTGGTGAGGGCACATGCCCAGGTGGTGGGTTCAGTCTCCAGTATGGGTGCCTATGGGAGGCAAGGGATCGATGTTTCTCTTTCTCTCCCCCACTCTCCATTCCTCTCTCTCTCAAATTAATAAAAACATTTAAAAAATAAAGCAATACAGCCGAGGAGAGGCGAGGGAGGAGGAAAAGGGATGCTGGGAACCCCCGGGGAGGAACCCGAGCTCGCACCGGCTCACTGCCCCTCAGGCTGGGCTCACTGCCCCTCAGGCTGCAGCAGCGAGGCTGTCCGCCAAGGGTTTCCAGGGTGACATTCAAGTGCTCAGCTGGAGAATTCCTTTGCTGCCTCAGGCCTCTGACGGACAGCTCAGCCCTCGGGCCTCCTTTGGGTGACACTCCCCTGGGTCAGATCCTCCGCCTCCGGGAGCCAGCAGGCTGGAATAACAGCTCAATCTAAAGCAGGATCCCAAAGATCTCAACTCTGGCTGGAATACTAAGTCTCAGAAACAAAACAACCAGCACCGTACTGAACCGGGACTGCCTAATTAACCCCTGCTCCCGAACTTCAGCGGGAGCAGCTGTGGACCAATCTGCATCCTCACTTCCCGTTCCCCTTCATAAAAGGACACTACCAACATTACGTAAATCTGTACCCTCAGCGAGCGAAAATAAATGCCACGTGGGTTTACCCAGACTCCTCCCCACGCTCTGTCCTCTGGGCAGCTGATCTATTCCCATGCAGTCCATGAATCCATGCGTTTGCTCGGGGCCCGCCAAGAGCCTGGCCCTGGACGTGTGGCTGCAAACCCACCCTCGAGGACCTTCCTTCCTGGGGGAGGACACAGCATTGGTGCTGGGGGACATCCCCCACCCTCTCTCCTCTCCCCTCGAACAGTATGGTGATTGTGGAGGGAGGGCGTGGAGGTGGAACAGGGTAAGGGGAATACATGTGATGGGGGGGGGGAAACAAAATAAAGGAGAAAAATAATAAACACACGCACACACCCCTGCTGGGTCCGAAGAAAAAACAAGAAAATGGCCAAAACGTCCCTGCCCCTCAAGCACAAACACGAGTCCCCTTCTCCTGGATGAGACTGGGGGTCGGGGTCAGCGCTGTCCTACCGCCCAGCCAGGTGGCCCCAGGACAGTCCACAGAGCCACACCCGGAGAGTAACTCAAAACTGTTCTCACAAACACCTGGTGGCAAGTCCAGGCGCGCACCTCGCCCGGGGCCCGCGCCGGCCGGCCCTCCTCCAACCTGACCTGCCGGGAGGAAGCCGTTTCTAGGGGCGGCCAGTCCCCTTCCGGTGGAGAGCACGGAGACAAACCATCACAACCGCCTCCGACAAGGCGCGGCCCGGACAGGAGCGTCTCCTGTGGATCTGCTTCAAACCCGCCGCCGGTCCAGCTTAAGGCCACGGGGAGCCGGGCGCTGTCTTAGGTGACCCCCCACGCCCCGTCAAGCCCCCGCGGCCGGCCAGCTCGCCGGACGCCGCGCCAAGGGGGCGGCCTTGCGGGGAGGCCGGAGACCCCCGCCCCCCGTCTTCCTCCGGCGCTGCGGCCCAGCCCGGGGAGCTGCCACACCGGTAAACACAACGCTGGGGTCCGGGCCTGCCCCTCGGCGCCCTCCCTCCGAAGCCCCAGTGTCCGGCCTGCCCTGCCTCCGGCCGTAGAAGTTACGGGGGCGGGACGGAGGGCGCTCGGCCCGCTGCCGGGGCTGGGAGAGGGGCGGGGGCGGGGGGCGAGGCCGCGGCGCCGGCCTCACCTGCTTGAGGCAGCGCTCCTTGAGCTGCTCCACCGAGGTGTCCTCCGTCGCCTCCTCCAGCCACTCGGTGCCGTCGGACGCGCAGATGTGCAGCCGCAGCACTTTGCCCGCGAAGATCTTCTCCTCCTGCACGAACATCGCGCCGCGCCGCCGCCGCCGCCCCGGCCCTGAAGGTCACCGGGCAGGGCGGGCAGGGGCGGGGCCAGGCCTCCCGCGCGCTCGCTCGCTCGCGGGCCCCGCTGCCCCGCCCCGGCCCCGTCGGCCGGCCGCCTGTCACTCGCGGCGGCCTGAGCTGTCGCCCGGCACTGCCGCCGAACCGCCGGGGGCGCGCTGGTGCCGCTGCGCCGGAAGTGCGTCACAGGGCGCGCCCGGGCATGCCGGGAGATGTGGTTCCCCAGCATCCGGCTTGCATCCGCCGATGCGCCGGAAAAACGTCATGGTGTGCGCCCATAGCATCCCGGGAGATGTAGTTCTCTTGCGGCTGCCTTCTTCCCTCAACGGTCTGCCTGCGCTCTGCAGCTGAGCACCACTAGCCACGCGGGACCGTTGAGTTTGCTGTAAAATACACACCGGGTCTCCGAGAATTCGGAAGAAAAGAGCAATGTGAAATGCTTTGTAAAATATTTTTTTTATTGTCAATAGTATTACAGATATCTCACATTCCCCCCTCTTTTTCACCCTCCTCCAGCCCCTCCCCTCTCCCAGGTCTTCACCACCCTATTGCCCGTGACCATGGGCTGTGCATGTAAGTGCTTTGGTTTACCTCTTCTCGTCCCCCAGCCCCACATCGAGATACTATCCTGCCTCCCTGCTATGGGTCTTCAGTGTTAAATACGTTATTGTTTTTATATGGACTCCACCTTGAAATAGCACTTTGGATGTCTTGGGTTAAGTAAAATATATCAAATTGACTTCACCTGTTTCTTTATGCTTTTTAAAGAGGTGGTTTCTAGAAAACTTTAAATTGTGTCTGTGGCTGCTATTGTGTTTCTCTTGGGAGGTCCTGGTCTTGAGCAGAGTTTCTCAAAGTGTGTTCCGAGGCCAGCAGCAGCAGTGGCAGCTGGGGCCTTGTCAGCCACACAGCATCTGTTTCGAACCTCCCCTCTCCAGTCCTCGCTCTCCGGCCTCTGCTCGGCTGCAGAGCCACTGACAACATCCAGGACGGCCTGTGGGCACCCGTGGGAGCGGAAGCTGCCCAGGGACTCCGTGCACACCCTCTCTGTGGGGTGCCAAACGTCAGTGCTGCCATTTGGGCCTGACCCCAACTCACTCGTTTCCCTCCTTCAGGAACCTTGGCAGCAGAGGTGAACTGGACCCAGGACACAGGACTCAGAGATGAGCTGTTCCTGGGGGCGGGCGGGTTATGGGGAGCCCTCCCAGCACTCAGCACCCAGCACCCAGCACCCGCAGGCATTTACTCTTCACACCGTTTGTACACGCGTCCTTAGTCTCCCCTGGAGATCGTCCAACCTCGTCCGAATTCAGTTTGTCTAGTGTTTGCTCATGGCCGCCACAAGCCAGCCCCGCTGCTCACCTAAAACAGTGATCCAACTGGAAGCCAGGACAGGCTCCTGGGCATGGGGTCTCCCCTGCAGGAGACAGACGTGCGGCTGCAACGCCGTCCCAGAGGATAGAGGGGACCCAGGCCAGCAGGGCGAACGAGAACAAAGCCAAGAGTGACCGGAATCGCCCCCTCCAGGAGGCAGGGCACCCTCAGTGCCACCCCTGCAGGAGGCAGGCAAAGTGGGCGGGAACCTGGTGAGCCCAGCCCAGCACGTGGTTACCTGGGGGTGTGGGGGTGGGGTGGTGCAGGGAGCATCTGGGTGGACATTGCTGGGAGGGACTGAACATACGGGCCTGAGTCCAGGAGGGCTGGCCGAGCCACCCGGCCCTCCCTCCCCCCTCCCCCCTCTGGCTGCGACCCCGCACCCACCATCTCTGAGCAGAGCCTGAGCTGCCAAGGGGATGACCCCCTTCCTGTGGTCTCCCCACCCATGGACTCAGCTCCTGGACCCCGAGCACCCACCAGCCAGGAGGGCTTCCTGGCAAAGGCGACACCAAGTCTGGCCCAGGGGCACCTGCCATGGTTCTCCTGGGCCAGTGTCCCACCCCGAGGAGGGCACCCCTACCCCAATCCTCTCCACCAGCAGCTGCTGGCTGTTCCTCGAGGTGGCCACGAGAGGGCAGGGGCGAGCCATGTCCTGCTGTGGCAGCGAGGACTAGGGAGGAGCAGGTGACTGACTAGATAGGGGGCTTCCCTCTCCATCCCCGGGCCTGGCTGGGGCCCGGTAGCGGGCGTGTGCCAAACCGAGGACACAACATGGCAGCTTGGCCAGCACGCCAAGGGAGTCTTGGAACTGTGCCCTGAAGGATGGCCAGGAGCCCACCAGCCATCAAGAGGGTGGAGGTGGGGCGGTTTGGGGGTGCATTCCAACAAGAGGGAGCAGCCCCACCACCCCCTTCAGGGGGGACCCCAGTCCCAGAGAAAGGAGGGGCAGCGTCTGGTCACTTACCCTGTGCCCAGGAAAAGCCAGCACCAGGCCCACTGTCAGGTCCCGGCCCCCACCTCCCCTCTTCTGCCCCAGGACCCCTTCCAGGGGTCACCAAACAGAGAAGGGTCCTGGGGCAGCAGGAACAGCCTCACAGACCAGGGACAGGCATCAAGCAGCCGAAATTCCCTGCCTCCTGGGTCTGCATGCAAAGGTCCAAGAGTGAGCTAGGTGTCCTCGGGGCTGGGACCCCGGGCGGCTGGGAGGGAGGGTCTGTGTATGGCCTCTCCCAGCCCCCGGTGTCACCAGGCACCCTCGGCGTCACTCAGCCTGCCCCATCTCCCCCCGTCCTCCGTTCTTCCAGCCATTGGATGGAGGGGCACCCCCATCCAGGTGACCTCACCTTGAGACCCTTGACCAGTCACCCTTGCAGAGACCTGATTTCCACACAAAGTCGTTGTGAGTTCCTGAGCAATCGAGTTTGGGGGGCACCCCATCGCCCCCTGACTGAGGTCTCGGGCGTTTATGGTGTGGGGTGTGGGGTGTGGTCCTGTGCCCTCAGCAGGCGAGCCTCCCTCCAGCTCCCAGCGCGTCCTCTGGGCTCCAGGGAGGTCGGTGCGGCCACACGTGTGGGGCTGGGCCTCCGGAAACGGGGAACGCACGTGGCCCCGCGGTTAATTAATTATTACATTAAACACGCCCGCTCAGGCCCCGCAAACAGGAAGGTATTAATCACCCATTTCCTCGGCGAGACAGGTCCCTCTCCCTACATTCCTCCGCTGCTGACTGCACCAAATGGTCGTCTTCCGGCTGCTGACACTTCCCGCCAAGCCGCGGCTCATGAATATTCCGGCGTCGCAATGTGCTTTGTAAAAGAGCAGACTCCTCATTTCACTTTTACGTTGGCTGTCAGGAGCAGGAATTTTCCAGGCCCCCAAAGATGGGGACCATTCCCGGGGGAGCCAGCCCCGACTGCACGGCCGTGGATGCCAGGCCTTCCTGCCCCGCCCGGGGGAAGCCGGGAACGCTGCTGAATGGACAGGACAGCGGTGTGCCCTGCCCGGTCCGCCCTGGCTCCTGCGTCCGGGCAGCCCCTCGGTGGGCCGGGCCATCGTCTCACCATCTCAGCACAAGCCCCCCTCCTGCACCCCCTGCTGAGCCCACCCCGCTGCCCGTTAGCCAGGCTGCCGCCCCTCAGTCCAGGGTCCTCTTACTGCCCCAGATCAGGCCCCGGGACCAGTGTCAGAGCCCCTTCCTCGTCCACAACAGGTTCATTCTGCACCCCAGTCCCTAATACGGGGTGCGGGGAGAGCAGGCAGCAGCCAAGTTCCTGATCATCCTGAATGAGTGAGTGAGTGAGTGAGTGAGTGAGTGAGTGGATGGATGAAAGGAAACTGCAGGGGATGTGACTCAGGTTCACCTGGGAGGATGCGTGGCCAGGGAATCCCGACCCTCCTCACGTGGTGAGGATGGGATTTGGCATCCAGGGGCCCACAGTGCCCTCTGCTGGCGGCCGCAGGGTGGCACCAGGAGGCCGGGATGGGACTGACAGGTCGCCCTCTGGGGCTGGGCTCTTCAGGGCACTCGGCGGCCGCCCCTCACTCTCGCCACAGGAGCGGCACACAGGCGGGAAGCCGTGCCCATCAGAGTGGCTCTCGTGGCCGCCGGTGACCCAGGGGGAAATGGCTGACCCAGGACCAGAGGGGCGTTCCTGGGACGGGGTCCCTCACCTCTGGGGTGGCCCAGCAGACCGTCCCCGGGCCGGGCCTCCTGGGGCCTGGACGCCGAGCGGCGTGCCCTCTGCGAAGCGGCATCTGCGTGGCTTGCAGCGAGTCGTCACGGGGGCAGCGCCAGCCTTTTCGAGGGACTCGGTGGGCAGAGCTGGCTCACGCTCGAGGCTGCCCCCCTGAGTGCCAGAGCGCCCCCGTGCTTCCTGGTGGTGAGAACTAGGAGCTATCGCGGGAGCCGGGGCCAGCCACCCGGGGGATGGAAGGGGGTCTCAGACGGGCGTGCAGGAGGGGCATCGGCCCCCTCCCGGGGCTCCTGTGGCCTGGCCTGGGCAGGAACGGCACCTCTGGGGCCCAGAGACCAGTGTCTGTGGGTGGAGTGACGAAGCCCCGAGTCTTATAACCTTATTTACCGAGGTCACCCCAACACAGTCCAAAAGGCTGGCGGGGCTCAGTGGTTGGGCATTCATTTATGAACAGGAGGTCAGGGTTCGATTCCCAGGCAGGGCACAGGCCTGGGGTGTGGACTCCATCCCCAGTGTGGGGCCTGCAGGAGGCAGCCAATCCATGATTCTCTCTCATCGTTGATGTTTCTCTCTCTCCCTCTCCCTTCCTCTCTGACATCAAGAAAAATATATTTTAAAATAGAAGAAGAGGAGAGGAGAGGAGAGGAGAGGAGAGAGAGAGAGAGAGAGAGAGAGAGAGAGAGAGAGAGAGAGAGAGAGAGAGAGAGAGAGAGAGAGAGAGAAAGGAGGAGGAGGAAGGAGGGAAGGAGGGAGGGAGGGAGGGAGGGAGAGAGGGAGGTCGGCCCAGCCCATCTGTTCCAGGCTGCCCTCCCAGAGGCTCCGCCCAGAGCAGGTGCGGCCGCCTCTCTCCGAGGTGCTGAAACCGGGCACCTGGCCACCCCAGGCTCCTGCCTCCA